GGGAGCCTCCACAGTGTAAGTGTTGCAGCCCAGGATTTACAAACCTGGCTGTGTATCCAAAGCATCTGGGAAGATTGCTAAAAAAGAGATTCCTGTGTTCTACTCTAGGTTCTCTGGCGTTGGGCCTAGAATCTATATTTTAAGTAAATGTCTCAGGTGGGTCTCCTGTAAACAGGCCAGTACTATGCTAGGATTAGGATTTAGAGACTGCTGATCAGGCATCTCTGAGGGCTTGTCTAGCTAAGATGTCCTGCCTTTGTGATTCAAACATGACTGACTACACTGTAGAGCAGTGTTTTTCAAACTGCAGATTTAAAGCATTAGCACCAGCATTGGGGAAGGGAAAAACACACAACAGACTATAAAATGAGAATACATTGCCTGTAATAAGGGTATTATTTCATTAATTTTTCACAGATGAGTATATGAATAATTAGTGGTGATATAAAATACATTTATTTTATTGTGGGCTATGGTAAAAAACCCCAAAAAACCCTGAAATCCAGTGCGGTCATGAGAATAATGGATCTCAATTTTCAGTGCTGTAGGAAAGCGAGTTTCTAAGCCACACAAAGTTTAAGTCTCTGAGTGGAGTTTAAGAATCTGCTTTTCAAACAGGTGACTGATGCAGATGGGCCTAGACCACACTGAAACTACTGCACTCTGTGAACTCAAACCCGTCCCCAGGACCCAACTCATCCAGAGCTTTACAATGGGGAGGGGTAAAGGTGGGGGTGGGATGTCCTCAGGGGGAGCAAATCCCAAACCCCCATATTTGTAGTGGCAGTAAATGATTTGGAATAGTTAATATCACTGTCCTGTAGCAACCATATTTTGTTATTTGTAACATTAAAGAAGGCACTAGATTTTTTTCCACCTGAAAAGCAGGAAAATAAGGGACATGTAGAGACTGTACCAGTTTGGTTGAATGCCAAGCGTCATGTAGGTAAGCGAGTATTTGTTGGTTGAATGAATGAATGAATGAATGAATGAATGAATGAATGAATGAATGAAAAGACAAAAGTGCTGAACTGAGAGCACAGGAAGCTGTTCCTGGTCCCTCTCCAAGTTGCTGTCACTCCCAAAGTCCAGTTCTTCATAGACTTTAGGGATTCATTGAAAGAAGAGCAGCTCAGGAAACAGCCCCCTGGATCCAAACTTACTCAATACCTTTACAGTGAATAGCCCCCATCCTCAAGTTTTCTTTCCCAGGAAAGAGTAGCACTCAAGCCACAGGATAAAACCACTTCCATTTAAGCAGACCACAGAACACAAATATACAAAAATAGGTTTATAGTTGTTGAGTACACAAAACAGTTTATTCTTGTATTACTATTTATTAACATCGTATTATTTGCCATACAAACTGTAAACCTACTTTTGCCGTACCTTGTACATAATATTTACATACTGACATCTACTATGTGCCAAGTGATTTACCTATATCACTTTTAATTCTTGAAAATAACTCTGCAAGGTAGGTGTTGACCTACCTTACACCAGACCTGAGACCCAGAGAGGTTGGCTGACTTGCCTGTCTCACCAGGTAATAAGTGGCAATATATTTATGTCTATGCCCAATGTGGGCACCAAGCTGGTCTTGGAGGTCAGCCAGTGGGAACATGTAGAGGCAGCCTTGAGACTGAGATTACAGAACATCGGTTACAAAATGCATACAATTCCCATTTTGAAGTAATGTCTTCCTTTAATTGCAATTCAGCGCTACTTGGGTGTTTGTCCCTATAGACTCAATTATTGACAACTCCACTTCTATGATTGCTGGCCCTCCTTGGGGACTTGGGGAGTATCAGCTAAAATGATAAACAGCATTTTGTAGGTTGGTCAACTTAATGTCAGGGAAAAGCTGCTGGAAGTTTATGTCAAGGAACAGATGTGTGGTTTAGCCTTAGTACTTAAGAACTATAAACCTGTACAAAAAGATAGCAGGTCTGGAGGTTCTGCAGTCTACCTCAGTTTGAAGACTGGCTCCACCACCACTTGTGATTTCCTCTCTGCCTTTCTGTGTCTTCATTTTAACACCTTGTAGTCCTGAAAACTGCATGTCAGGAAAGAATTCCAACCAACATCCAGGAAAGCATACCCATTGCCCCAAGTTTGCCTGGACAACCACTCTGAGAATAACAACCATTGCACAACTATTTCCTAAAATCAGAGTTAGAAGGAGGGCCAGGTAGCAGCCAGTGGAACTCTTCATAGAATATAAACCCATCCTATCTACCAGGGACCTGCAAGGGCTCTGAGAAGCTTAAATTCCAAATTCTGTTATCTTACCTACTATAAGATACCATGTAATGTTTGAGCAGAACCAATCTTTAAAAGAAATACACTATAGGAAACACTTCCAGGCAGTCACCATGGTGTTCAAGCTGAAAGTCTTGTCAAAGCACTACACTCACCACAGTAACTGACAGTCTGGAACATCATTTCTGCTTAAAGTTGTTGAATGCCTTTGCCTTTCAAGCTACTTTCAGACTCTAGTAACTGACATTTATCACATAGCAAATTAAATCAACAGTGATAAATATACTCATGTAACACCTTAAAAGCAAGTTACTTAAGTTCCTCAATTGGTACAATCACAGCTCATCATTTTTGTTCAGATCTGTGAAAAGGATTCACCTGTATTTGTTGCCTAAGCTTTCCTATACCTGTACCTTGAACAGAGTCAAGTTCAGTCCTCCTGGTGCCCCTGGGTGCCTTAGGCAAAGTCCCCTCTGAACAACTACAAACTGTGGTTTCCATAACAAGCTGCTCTGAAAGTGGTTCTGTACCCCCAGGCACTAGCAAGGTCCCTGGTGCCTGGCAGCTTAAAGCATTTGTGAGTAGCTTATAGGCCCTGACCTCACCACTCACCCAAGAAGCTTGGGTCTTTAACCCTTCAGAATCAGACCTCTGGCAGCCTACTCATTGTGGTCTTTATCCACTCATTGGCAGAAGCACCTCAGTGTATGTGTGGAGATAAACAGATTGGGACTAGCAGGTGGTTAAACTGCAAGAAAAGGAAAAAACACAAAATTCAGAAGGTAAAGGGTAATACACAAAACCCAACAGGCCATTCTGCTCTAGAGAACCGGAAAAGCTGCAATTTGCCTTGTTAACTTGCCTATGCCACCATGCTAGCAGGGAAAGCAGAGAAATGAGAATTGTGACCTTTTCCCAGCTTAGCACTCTTTCAACTATACCGCACCATCTAACAGCTGGAAGATACTATGCAAGGACCTTACAGATACTGGACAAAGGACCAGGACAACAGAACAAAGGGAGCCTCTACCAGGGCAGTTCTATGAACTGACATTCCTGACATTTAGTGCTGGCTGCATACATAAGGCACTATGCCCTACGCATCCAGAAGGTGGCATATTACAAAACCACTGTAACGTGAGAACATAAGAGGAAAAAAGCAAATTAAAATTATAGATTAGCTATGTTTGCTAACCAGTGTTTCCAATGGGGGACACAATCTATTGTCCTTAGTCCTGACTATCACGTATGACTTTTGATTAGTTATTTGGCACCTGAGAAGAGTAGCTTAGCTGGTTAGAGCGTCATCCCAATACACCAAGGTTGTGGATTCAATTTGGGGTCAGGGCACACACAAGAATCAACCAATAAATGCGTAAGTGGAACAATAAATCGATGTTTCTCTCTCTCTGAAAATAAAAAAAGTTTTTGGTATAAAGTCCTTGTAACTTATTTTCTACCTAACAGTTCAAAATAGTAACATATGCACGTACACACAATTTTTTCAAGTTCTGATTACATTTTAAAAAAGAACCCGATACTCCTCTCACCTGGGCTTTGACCTCTCCCCTTTAGCCATCCTATGTGGATGAAAATGCCTAGCACTCTGTACAATAACCCATTTGTGCCCAAATTCTCCTTCTATAGTGTCTCACTGCACCTGCAAGAGCCTCCACTGGTGGGTTGTGACTTGGCCCCCTCACTAGCCCAATCTGATCTACTACTCTCTTCTACCCTTGCTGTCTAGTTACATGGTCTGTTTCTCAACCAAACTGACTGGGACCTCCTAGTGTTTGTATAGCAGGCTGGCCCCATCGCCCACCTGTACATATTCCCACAGCACTTCACATATTTGTGGTATTATCCCCATGGGGCAGAATGTTTGACATGCCTGACCTCTAGGGACTAATGCAAACAGCAACCCCATTAACAGTGACAATCAGATGGTCATCCCCACAAATTTTCCCATACCCCAGGATGGGGATAGGTATTATTGCTCCAGCTTAAGAACTCTGCCCTAGAGAATTAACTACAGGGCTAGCACATTCAATCAGCAAAGTAGCACCCAGTATTTCTGGGCCTAGTACATGATACAGACAGATGCCCACCAGGGACAATGCTATTCTGGACATCCACAATGGGACAAGGGGACACAGGGTCACAGAACCCTGATCCAAGTTCTCATAGCAGCTGAATAAACGAGAAAAATAACAACACGGCAAGAACTTCACAACTAAATTTATTTAAGAACTCTCCTGGGATATTATGTTCTTCCCCTTTGTTCTGCATTAGGATGTGGGCAGTGCTTCTCTGCTTTAGTGGGGGCATACAAGTCACCTGCAGATCTTGTTACAAGGCAGCTCCTAAAGCAGTAGGTCTGAGGTAGGCCCCAAGAGTTAACAATTCCCCAGGTGATCCCATCCGCTACTAGCAGCTCAACCCAAAATACCAATGCTTTAGACCCCTGTGTGATAGCTGTTTAGAACCAAGCTCCTAACTAGAACAGAGGGTAAGCCTTCCTGTCACTGGCTGCTCTAAACTGGTTAGGGAAGTATGCCCCCCTTACTCCAGTCGCCAAGAAGTTTCATGACTCACCTAAAATACTACTAGAGCTAGGACTAAGATCCAGTTAGATATCTGACCTCCCAAGAGTTTTTTCACTGGGCCAGGAGCCCAGGCAGTTTAATTTTAAAACAGGGAAATGAACTCAACTGAGTACACAATACAGCAGAACCAAATGAAGGGTAGGCAGGTTTATACTGTTAAAATTAAATAATAATACAAACATTAGAACATACAGATACACAGCAAATGGCTAACAGTCAAGTGCACAAGGGCGGCAGTAGCATTAGAGGGACTTCCGCTGTCTACATTATTTCTGAAATGCTTTTAGATAAAACCAACAAATGCTCTCCATCTCCTCTGTACAATATGCTGACTTCCCACAGCAGCTAGTACTCAACACGTTAGCTAGATATTCAGCAAGAGTTAGTGTGTTCTGAAAATATTTATTCCAGTTGTAGTTGTTACTGTAGTTACAAGATGTTAAAATGAGTGAGGTTCCCCCTATAAAAATGAAACTAAATCACAAGAATCAAGATTCCTTCACATGTTCTCATTCTGTTTTTACAAGGTGACAGCCCTGGCCCTACACTAAGAGATTAAGAAGTGAGTGCACATTGATATTTTAAGTGAAATAAAAAGTATATGACAACACATTTCATGACACTCCCCTTTAACCAACTGGATCTGATCTTAATAAGAAGACTTTATTATCAGAAGACAAAATAAGTCACATTCCCATAAAAATTAGGCACACCAAATAATCTCTGGGTTTTAAAATACCTACGAAGACAGCTAACAAATTACAGCACCATGAACAGCAACGAAAAGGTGGGCCAAGGACAACTGAACTCGTTAGTCACAAGACAGTTATTGAACTGAATTAACGTGCTCAAAATGTAAACCCAAGAGTGAAAACTATGAACCACTGGCCAAATACTGTATTTATGGTCAGAGAAATGGTGGCCTTTGAATGTCACTGCTTCAATGACCTGGAAATAGACAAAGAAGAAAGTTCCACTTTCACACCGAAAGGGGGTCAAACTGGTTAAGAGAAACATTTGTCATATACCAAAACACAAAATTAACCCTTTTTGAGCACCATGTACCTGGTACAAGTCTAGACATTCTATAAGTTTTAACCCTCTGCGGGGCATTTACTATTATTGCTTCCATGATACAGATGAGAAATCTGAGGCAGAGATTAACTTGCTTAAGGTTAACACATCTAAGACGGTGGGAATCGAATCCAGGCAATTTGCCTCAAAGACCACCCTCTTCTCTACTTATACTGCCTCTCAACAACCTTACAGGCTCATTTTAAAGGAAAACTGAGACTGAACAGTTAAACCAAAACTTAATCCCAAGCATCACACCAAAGCCTGTGAGCCCTTCACCAGGCACCAGTGCTAATGAAATCTCTAATGAAGAGCAGAACCCTGAGTAAAGGGGAGCCTCCTGGAACACGGGATCACTGCACCCCACCTTTAATCAAGGCTCTAGTCCCAGCCCCAATCACACCTTCCCCTCCAAAACCAGTTTCCAGTGACTACTGCACCACAGCCTAACAAGGGTGTGGCAGGCACAGGCAATGCTGTGAAGCTCAGGCTTAGATCTGCCAGAAAACATTGCATCCACTCAGAGGAAGACAGGGTTGTTACCAGCTATTCCCATCGAAGCTTTAATGGCTTGAGGTCCAAGGACTTGAATATGGCCAGGCTCCTTTCACAGAACACACACAGTAAAGTACATTTCACTGAAAATATTTTATTGGCCTTTTGGATAGAAACGGGAATTTATTTGCCAGGAAGGATGATCCCATCATACTGAAAGAGAAGAGATTTAATTTTTTCAGAACAGGAGGCAACAACAAAGATTGAAGCAATGGCTAATGTTTCATTTGAGATTACAAATCTGATACATGAACTTGGCTCTGAATCCCATACCCATTCTGGACCAAACAGGAAGGCGGCCAGTTTTAACAACTGCTACACTGTGCTCAACTGCACTATACCCTAAGAAAAAGAGGGCTCTTATTAAAGCTGTTTTCCCACCCTTTGAGCTATCAGCATTCATGGGGGTGGAGAAAAGGTCTGATTCTGGGTGTTCTTTTAAACCATTAACCCTGGAAATCCCCATTTGCCAAGTGGCCCAAATATTCCATCTTCAAAGAAGCTACCCACCAAATGGTGATAGATTTTGCATCCCCAAATCCCAACTCCATTCACCACATTCCACCTGAGATAAATCAGCTTTACCTTCTGCTGGAACCAGCGCATGGCCTCCTCTTTGCTGATTCTGTGTTTGGCCCCAATGCAGCCTGTCCTGCGTTTCTTGTCTGCGATGCTGAAACCTGGCCTACCCAGCACCTGTCCCAGGAATAACCAACAGTCACCCAGCCAGCTCAGAGCCAAGAGCAGACAGACAAGACTCACATATCGGAGGTCGATCTTCAAGAGTCACCTGGTGGCCCAGTGAATTCTGAACCCATGATCTCAAGGTCTGATGGAACTGGTACCAGCATCCTGGACAATACACCACCATATTCTAGGTTTGCTTTGGAGGCTTGAACTTGCTGCACCTCCCCCCTTCTCTACCTAACTTCCAGTGTTAGCTAAGGACTCTCCACTACAGCTTCCCAATCTCCAAAGCACTTGAGGGAGCTGCCATCATTCAGGCTCCACACCAGTCAGGACTTCTCGTTTTTACTATTTGGTTTGATGGTTGGACCATCACAATAACACAAATGATCATTCCTACACTGAAATCCCCACCTGAGACAAACTAGCCACATTGCCAAACCTGCCCTCTGGATGGAAGCCACCCTCCCCCAGGGTGTAAGGGAAGGAGCTGGAAAAAGCAACCTCAGTGCAGCCAACCCAAATGCCAAATGAGGTGCCCAACACTCTCAAATTTTCAATTCAGGGGCTGGATGAAATATTTGATACATCTATCTTACAGCCATATGGTGGTTCTAGATCCTAGACTTTAAGCTTCATAATAGCAGTGATCTTGTCTATCTAGTTCAGTGCTGCATCCCTACACATGTCAGAAACGAGGCACATCTCCCAAAGGGAAAGAAGACAAAAGCAGACAACACTCAAAGTTTCAATCAAACATCTAAACATCAAAATAGCACACAGGAAATAAAGTAGCAGATTCCACCCTCCTCCCAGGCAGGGAGTGGAAAAGGTTAAATATTCATACCACATAGAAGTCCAGGCCGTAGATACCAATGCTTGGGTCATATTTGATCCCCAGATCGATGTGTTCCTGGATCCCAAAACCAAAGTTTCCAGTATCTGAGAAGTTATTCTTTCGTAATTCGTATTCTCGCACCTAAGGAGATAAAATGCAGCAATTACACTTATTGTCAACTCAAATTTCCCCAAAATAACTAGATTAGCTTGCAACACTCAGCAGCCTAGAACTACAATTCAATTCAATTCAATTTGTCCAGAAACAAAATATGATTTCCCCACTGCACCAAATCACATCCCAACTATGGATTTCACAGAACTTTCCCAACTTTCAAAGGGCAGGGAAAAACCTAGAGAAAGCATCAGTATAGTTTAACTCTGCCAAATGCAGGAAGAGCTCTTCAGAAGTTCAGATATACAGATGGCCCTGGCCGGGAAGCTCAGGTGGTTAGAGTGTTGTCCCCTTACACAAAGGTTGTTGTGTTCAATCCCCGGTAAGGACACATACAAGAATCAACCAATGAATACCACAGAGAAGTGGAAAAACAAATCAATTTCATTCTAAATTAAGTAAATGAATAAATAAAGACATACAGAAAGCTAACAGGAACATGAAAAGATGCTCAACATCACTAATCATTACAGAAAAGCACATCAAAAGCACAGTGAGATAACGTCTCACACCAGTCAGAATGGCTGTCATCAAAAAGACAAGAAATAAGTATTGTCAGGATGCAGAGAAAAGGGAATTTTTATGCAGTTGGGCAAAATGTAAATTGGTGCGGCCACTGTAACAAACAGTACAGAGGTTCCTCAAAAAATTAAGACACATGCAACCCTATGCTCACTGCAGTATTATTTACAATAGCCAAGATATGGGACAACAACCACAGTGTCCAATGCTGGATGAATGGATAAATATGTGGTATACATTTACACACAATGGACTATTTCTCAGCCATAAAAAAGAATGAAATCTTGCCATCTGCAATAATGCCATGGAACTTGAGGGTATTATGCTAACAAAAAAGATTGGTGGTTGCTGGGGAAGGATGTGGGGAAAAATGGGTGAAGGGAGTCAAGAGGTATAGACTTCTAGTTATAAAGTCACAGGGATGTAATATACAGCATGGTGACTATAGTTAATACTGTGTTGTATATTTGTAAGTTGCTAACAGAAAATCTTAAAAATTTTCATCACAAGACAAAAATTCTTTTTTAACTTTGTACAATGACGGGTGGTAACTAGTTAGGTTTATTGTCATCATTTCAGTGTATGCAAATATACTGTACACCTGAAACAAACCTGTTATATGTCAATTACACTTAAAAACCCCAAAACAGTACATTAAGCTTAACTGCTGCCACTATAATTGTCTACGTGTGTTAAGATGATGCTCATTAGCATCACCCCACAATGGGATCAGCCTCACCTTTAGACCTCTCTCCAAGATTTCTTCTGCCTTGGCCCCACGGACTGTGCAGTGGACGGCAATCTTTTCATTTCTTCTGATGCCAAAGGATCTGACGGTGTATCTGGCTGCAGGCAGGGGGTAACAAGGAGTCAGGTGTTGTCACACTCCCATAGCCTATTCCCCAGAACATCATCTCCATGACTCCAAAGAGATATTAGATCTATCCACTCTAAGTGGTGGTGTTCTAACCAGTGTCACCTACATCTTTTAATTGGTTGCATCTGAAACACAGAAAGATTTTTCCTACTCCACGCCATACTTAGCAATTAAGAGTTCAGTCAGAATGTCAAAGTTTTGGGAAGGGCAAGTTCACAACCAGAATAGGCCCCTAGAAAGGAAGATGATCATTGTGTTGTACAGGAAACATTAGGATAATAGCTAATGTTTGCTAAAACCTTACTGTACTGTCATACCCATTTTACAGATGAGGTCCTGAGAGGCTGAGTTTTCTCAGATCACAGGTGGTACCAAGAGGCGGGATTTGGACCCAAGGGCTTGCCATATTCCACTATTGCAAAGCAACACAACTTGACCTTGTTCTCAATGTAGCCTATGTAGCCCTACCTGCTAATTAGGCCATGTGCTGCTTCCCTAGCATTTCCACCCTACATCATCCCTTACTTGGAAAATCTTTGCTTGGGCTAGTCCTAATCTCTGCTCACATAAAGCTTTGTACTCCAACGCCACAACCAACCCTAAAAGGAAGGCACTTCTTGGGTAGCCCAGGAAGGTAATGCTTTGAAGGGATGTCAACTGTCACTTTTAAAAATGGGCACGCAGCAAGCATGGCAGGTGAGTTAAGAAACGCCCAGCATACCGAGCCTCCAGCCCTCCTGTCTGCCGCTTACCTTTGGAGAACACAGGGGTCTGGCCTGTGAGCTGCTCCAGGACCTTGGCCGCCCGGGTCAGTCTGTCTCCACTCTCCCCGACACAGATGTTGAGGCAGAGCTTGCGGATGCGAAGTTCCCGCATGGGGTTCTCCTTTTCACCTTGATCCTGCTGTGAACAGGGGAGCAGGGCGGTCAACACTCTCAACCCGCCGCAGCCACGAGCCCGCTATTTTTAATACATTGCATATCTACTTCTGCTCGTCCCAAATCGTACCGAGAGCCCTAAGAATTGAGTGTCACTGTGTTGTCTGGGAAGCATCGAGGAGGAAGACAGCTCGGGAATCTTGTTTCTTCCTCCACGCACGGAATAGGTGGACAGAAACTTAGGGCAGGTGCCGAGTGTCACGGTTACGGACACTGAAGACGAACCCCAAGGGGCTCAACGGGTAGGGTGACGGGGAGCGCCCCACGATAAGGCCGACGAGGGGAAAGAAAACAGAGCTGCTGAGGAAACCGGAAACACGCGGTTGTGCCGCGTCCCCCAGCCCGTTCCGAAGCAGCCCCGAGGCTGCGGCAGGTCCCGGCTGAGGTTCCCTAACACCGGCCAACTCTCAAGTCCCCAGGACCGGAAACAGGTCCTGACCCCGTGTCCCAGACCCCTGTTCGAGCCGGTCGCTCTCACTGCAGCAGAAGGGCCCGTGCTTCCGAGCCCTCGGGGCGGCTGCCCCAAGCCGGCTCCTCGGAGGCCGGGAGGGGAAGCCACAGGGGCCGGCTCCGCGCTCCCGGAGCGCATGGCTCTTAAGTTTCGGGACAGTCAGTACCGAGGGCTCCGTCCTCCTCGGCCGCGGGCGCGGCAGCCCTGGGGAACTGGGGGGGCCATGGATGGAGGCGGATGAAGGGAAGCTAAGCCGGGCCTCAGGTACTCACCGCCATGATGAGAAACCGGAAGAGAGAGTGGAGCTTCCGGGTCAGGGCCTTATGGGACAGGAGGCGGGCTCTTGGCCGAGCTAGGACGGGGAGAGAGAGCGAGAGAGGCGGGCTGGCG